TCAGTCATTTAGTGTAGTGGTTTCAAAACGGACTACTATGCCGAGAGGTCCCGGGTTCGATCCCCGGCCGGGCAGAAATTGAATTGATACATTTTAATTTCTGTGATGGGTCTAGGTGTTACTATGTATAATATGTACTTATGTATATAAAAACGGTATTTAAGTATGTTTATATCCGTTGTCTAGGACCCATAGCTTTGCTCAGTGTTTGGGACTAGGAGCGTAGTGTAAAATGTCGAAGGAAGGATATTTATTTATTATTTGCGGAGTGTATAGCGGAGTCTGGTACGTTTTGTTTGATCCACGACTGCCAAATACAAAACTTACTGCAAAGGAAAGGTAAGCTTAAATGGGCAATATGGTACTACTGATGTACCTGTTGCCCCAGCATTCTATTTTTTTTTTTTTTTTTATTATTATTATTATTTTTTTTTTTTATTTATTTATTTTTTAGTGAAAAAACGTATTAACGTCTAAAAAAAAAAGGGTCGCCATTCTAAGGCGAATTAATTGGAATTAATTCATGTTAATCGTGTAGAAATCTCTACGCCAGACGATAAAATATGAATTATGACTAAATATCAAACAAAGTTCAAGAAACAAAAAATAGGTTTATGTCATGTACAGAAACCAAAGCGTCTAACATTTTCTGAGACAATATTAAACCAAGTTCCTACTCCGTGTCTTTATTCAGACACCTTGATTCAGTCAGCTTCAGTATTATGACTGTGATGATTGAATTTTTATAATCATGCTAAGAAAAAATAACAAAATACTAATTCTCAATTTATACTTCATAGAAAGGGAAGAAAGACTCATTCATTATTATGAGTTTGTGGCAGCGTTATCAATTCGTAAAATAAAATCGCATTATTTTTTGGTATTATTAAAAAATGTCCTTAATCTAAACTAAAGGTTACAAGTAGTGGTAGTACTGGTAGGTACCTACATAATACATAGTTTATTTTATGTGGTTGATTCGTTCTTTGACTGACCAAAGTCCACTAGTCCGGTTGTTATTACAAGCGGCCCGATTTATTTTTTGATGCGTCAATAATTTTCTATTACATTGATTACAATGTAATTATTATTGTGTTATATTTATAAAGGCATAGTTATTATCGCTTTAACGCATAATAAGATACTTTGCTTGTCTAAAAGATTTAGCAAGATAAGAAATGATTCAATGTATTTCATGATGTCGCATCTCTTCTTATGAGAATTCTAACGTTATACATAAATAGTTTATACGAACCAATTGTAAAACAGTACATGGAGTTAAAACTGACCTTTTTTTTTTTTTTTTTTAAATAAATAATAATAATGATGATGAAGCCTTACTTTGTAAGACTATCAATAGTATTATTAGCATTAATCATACATTGATTAGTAGGTACAAACCTACATAATAATGTTTTTCCAATACAAGAAAAAAATGACGTCATCTTAAGTACCGATACCGATACAGTTTAAGGAAGCTCTTAGATTTTATCTATTATTTATAGATACAAGCTGGTGAGACGTCATGAATAAAAAAATAAACTTTGTAAAAATATCAGGGCTAAAGAAAGGCCGCAAAGAGACAAACAAAAATGTTGCCTGTTTGTTCAGATACAAAACAAGCATCCGTTAAAATAAGACCATAATTCTATTTGCTTTTCAGTGGCTATCGTGTTTATGTAATAAACATATTATATTAGTAATAAGTTTCTTTAAACCATAAATGAATCTTTTGTTAAAAGTTTAATTGCGGTTAAAATATCATCCCTTTTGAAGTGCTTAAACCACATAAACTTTGTTTAGCATCTTATATAAACGCTATCTAAGTCCACCATCTAGGAACATTTTTTTTTTTTTTTTAAAAAGTGGGTAATCTCAGAATGTACTCGTGTTGACGGATGCGATTAAGAATATTCTTAATATCAACGTCTCTGCGCCGACGTGTATAATTATTTGTTTGTATAATTAATTATGTTTACTCGCATGGTTATGATGATTATGAAAAAAATCATCTGGGTTCGATTCGGGAATCGAATAGGTATCTCGGTACAATAAATTCTGTAACCGGATAATATGTACATTGCATTTAAAATAAAAATATTTTAAGCGGCCAGCACATACCTGTACATAGATGGCGCGTCGTCTAGGGACGCGGGTTACCTTGGTGTTCTGGTCGGTCTTTAATGGCGCTTCCCGCGTTGCGCTGGCAGCGCTGGGCATGCGGCGGCGGCGGCGCGGCGCTGCGGCGTAAATAAAGGCGCCTGCGCTTGTGGAAGGCGGCGTGGTTGCGCCGCGGGCGGGTGATAGGTCTTAGCCCATCATACCATACAGCAGGGCGTAGCTTGTCGGTACGGCCTCTGTATAAAGCCTCGATTCACACAGTTATGCGAACGGCTAAAGCTTAATTATATATTCAGTGCAGCAGCCTGGATTAGTTGTCATATCAAATAAATACCTCTTTTCCCGTTTTAGAGGATTATAATGAGTTATAGTTGTCGACCGTCGATGTAATTGGTCGACCGACCGGAAATGTAGAAAGATCTTTGTAAGTTTCCAACAAAAAAAATGTGAGACTGATAAGTACTCAAAATCACAATGTCAGTTAATATGAGTCGTTGCATAGAAAAAACGACATATTGTCATACTTCATATATAAAGTAGGCATTTATTTCCACTTCGACTCGGTTCGGTCAACAAACCGGCCTAAGGTTTATTTAGGATCTTTTATTCTGACCTTATAATAGCAAGTAATGAATCTACATAAATGCACTTTGAATTTTGATCTGATACTTATTTCTTTCTTACTAGCCTTTGTATTTAGACCAATATCGATTGGTGTAATGTATAAAAATACAAAACAACAAAATTATTCAGTTACCCTTTGTAGCATTGAACAATGTGTATGGCCACAGGGTCATCGGTCGTTATAAAAGCAGGCGGAGGCTCGACTGGGGCGAGTGCGTCCGCGGCGCCGGGTCATCAGGCTCCAAGACGGTTGATGGTTCATAAGGTGTAAGGCCAAGAAGGCAAGCTCTTAATGTGGGTAGTTTCGTACAAACGCAACATTTTTCTGTATGAGCTCATTATGTTCTGTTTTTACGGCTTTTTAAAATGGCCGAAAAGAAGATACTTAACTCGTAAAAGTGAATAATATTACAATACCTGGCTATCTCGGTAGTTAATATCTCGTTTTTACTCGCTAGAGCAAAAAACGGCTACTGGTTAAAAAATAACCGAACATAAAGTGGCTGCTGGTTAATATCTCGTATTAACGCTACTGGTTAAAAAATGACCCGCAAAAATGACCGAATATAAAGTGGTTGCTGGTTAATATCTCGTATTAACTCGCTAGAGCAGAAAATGGCTACTGGGTAACATCTCGCATTACCTCGGAGAAAAAAATGGCTACTGGGTAACATCTCGCATTACCTCGGAGCAAAAGAATGGCTACTGGGTAACATCTCGCATTACCTCGGAGCAAAAAAATGGCTACTGGTTAACATCGCGCGTTAACTTGGAGCTAAAAATGGGTCAAAGTTACGCGTCGTGTCACAACGCTTATAATAAAAATGTACGAGCACTTGCACAAAATAGTTGTTACAACCAACCTTTTGTTGGGTCTAATTCTCGTCACTACACTGCACAACTTAAAATAATTACGTTTTTTGTCGGTAAAAACGTCCTGGTGACGTCACTTAAGCATTTTTCTTATACTGCGTGCGGTCGTTGCGCGTGCGCACAAAGGAATGAGACCGCTCGGACACCGAGCCCACAGCGTGGTAGGGGTGGGGTTGCCCGCTCTTTTGTTTTTTAATACTACTACGCTGAATATTGTGTGCGGATTGGGTTGTCGTACAGGGGTACTACATGGTAAAATAAATCTCGGAGGCGAAAGCAGGATAATTTGCACTCAAAAGTGGTTTTGACTAACGCGCTTGGTCAAAACCAGTTTTGACTGGAAAAATCAGTCAAAAATGATATTGACCAAGGGCATCAGTCAAAATCACTTTTGACTGATTTACGCAGTCAAAAGTAGTTTTGACCAATTATGAGTTTTGACTGTAACATATACAAGTCAGATGTGTTTATGTACAACATAAACATATTAGGGGTGGACTAATCTCTTGCGGGTCGTTTGCCAATTTATCGAGATGTTGTTGTTACATTATTTATTAGATGGAGATCGGAATTCCTGAATATTTTACAAGGAACTAAATAATGAGGCTGTCGATAAAAGTAAATCAACTGCTACTTTGTCAAATTACATCTGGGATTCTTTTGTTTATCTACTACGCGACGCGTCCCGGATTCACCCGTGTTGTTGACAAGTTATTGGCAGGCCTAAACCATAGGGTTAGCGTCCTTAGCTGATCATATTATTACTTACTAGCGGCCGCCCGCGACTTCGTACGCGTGGATCCCGTTTTACCCCCTTCATCTACATATGTAACGCGGTTTAGATTTTTCATAAAAATGTTTTTTCCCGCTAACTCCCGTTCTCGTGGGAATTTCGCAATATCCTGTTGTAATTAAGCTTTAAGTTTACTAAAGGTACCTGCATGCCAAATTTCAAGCGACTAACTTAAGCGGTTTAGGTTTTTCATACAAAAGGATTTTCCCGCTAATTCCGGTTCCCGTGGGAATTCCTAAGTATACTATAACCTGCCCAGGAGTATGAATAATAACTGTACCAAGTTTCGTTAAAATCCGTCGAGTAGTTTTTGTTTCTATAAGGAACATACAGACAGACAGACAGACAGACGGACAGACAGACAAAAATTTTACTGATTGCATTTTTTGGCATTAGTATCGATTACTAATCACCCCCTGATAGTTATTTTGAAAATATATTTCATGTACAGAATTGACCTCTCTACAGATTTATTATAAGTCTCAGAATACAGAATCCGTATTCTGAGTTATAAGTATAGATTTAAGTAGGTACTAAATATTTTTAAGGCTGAGTTGCAACCATCTTACTTTAACTTTGACAAACGTACCGGACATTGTTATTGTTGCGGTTAAAATAAGGTGGTGCAACTCAACCTAATAGATAACTGGAAAATGTTGTGGAAAACCTCCAGATGTTTCTATCAAAATATCATTACAGGAAAAGCTATCATCTAGCTGAAGTGGAAAATATATCCAGAAATATAGGAAGCGGATTCATGTAAGCTGGTAAAGCAAACAATGATTTATTTACTCGAAAATAGGATTCAATATTTATAGGCAGCTTGGGAAAAATTTTTCGCGTTTTCAAATATGCATAACTTTTGCGATTTGTTTCAATTCTTGCTTTGTACTGGTTAGGTTAGGCATCAGACTGTATGGGGTGCGATGGTGAGGGACCTCCCCGTGGTGCATCCCGGGCAACGTCCGCGTGTTCTGTCACGCGGGCGGCTGACTCCTCACCGGCGCGGCAGGTCGCGTCAACTCGGCGGGCCTGTCGGGCAACCCGTAACCCCCCAACGGAGGGGGGCCGGGGGCCCCGGCTACGGAAGTCGGGGCCAAGACAAGGAAAAGTCTTTAAAACCCCTAATCCTAAGGTCTGGCGGGGGCCGAGGGGATGAATGGCTAGAGGGTATCTAGTATGCTACCCCGTCGTGGAGGTGGGGCAGCTGCGCCCGCAAGCAGTCAAACAAGCATGGACGCAAAGAAAAATGAATGTATACCCCAGGAGGGTACCGGCAATGCCGGAGAATCCCTCACCGCCTCGGCGGTCTCGGCTCACGTATCTGGGGGAGCCGCAACGCGTTCTGTGCTTTCCGCAGGTGGGAAGGAGAAGGAGATAGTGGTAAGAGTGGAGAAGATGAGACCTTCTTCCTTTGATGGGACCAGGCTCCGGGCTATGTTCGGAGGCCCTGCACCGTCGAAGAAGCAGGCTGATAAAAGTGAGAAGGTCGCCGAGCGTGCGGTCGAGACCGCTCCGACATCCAGTCAGAGCGCGACTCCCGCGCGAGTAGGCGACACGGTCACCGAGCGGGTAGACGACGTCGCCCGAGTAGGTGGCCAAGCTGGACGTGACACTCAGGGTTATGAGTCATGGACTGACGACGGCGGATCGGACAGAATATCTGTTCTGTCCGGCGTTTACTCGGACGAAGAGGAGGACGACATGTCCCTAGCGGAGAGCGTGGATAGCTCGCTCTCGCGGGCGGGAGTGAAGCGCTCCCTCCCTAGGGACTTGGCCGATAGTGAGGAGGACACCCCTAAACTTGCCAGTGGGCGACGGGGGCGTGGCGCTCGAGGGCCGCATTTGAAGAAGCCGCGAAGCTGCGGCAGACCTACCACCTCTGGGGCGGGCAGACTGGCCGCCTCACCGGACCCGGAAGAGATGGCGGTCTCCTACACACGCCGCATGAAATTGGCGCGTGCCCGTGCGGAGTTAATGACGACTGACATGACTGCCGAGGAGATGGAGCGGACCATCCGTGACAGTGCCGAGGCAGTCATCAAGCTGACCGGATCGTGCGGCAACTTAAAGAGTACCGTTAGAGGTGCCCTCAACGAAGCCGCAGTCACCATCGAGACCGTCTTGAAGGCCATGTCGTCGAAAAAAAAAAAAAAAAAAAAAAAAAAAAAAAAAAACAAAAAAAAAAAAAGGCATCAGACTGTATATTTTTGTAGCAAAATCACCCTTATTACAACTAAATAAGATACCAAATTTTTTAGATTAATGTGCCACCGTTCGTACCCTTGACGGTACATTAATTAATCCCTGAACTCTTTGTCGTGGTCGAGGTAAAAGCTTTTTTCTTTTTTTTAGTTTTGATATGACCGTTATCTATTCGTAGTAATAAGGTAAAGCTGACACGAGATTTCATTTCATTGACTTTACTAAAATTGTAACTTACGTGATTTGTTTATTTGAAACTAAATGGCTTCGATTAAAATGTAAAATGAAGGATCTAATAAAATAACAATTAATTAATAAGCGTGTCGTAAGTAAGTAAAGGCGTAAGTCGAGATGGTTGGATTAATTCGGATACTTCTTGAGAAACGAAAAATTGGAAAAGTTTTCTGGAAACATGTCCAAATCGGGAAGATTTGATGTTCTTTTCCATGGAATTTTGAGCTATTAAAGTTATTAAAGGAATATTTTATTCACAATAATTGTGGGCACGAGTACAGTCGGTGGCATAAAAGACTGTACCATTATCAGACGGTACATTTTGGGCAAGAATAAGAATAAGAAATTTATTCATAATGTTCATTACATGTCAAATTTTCAATATATTTTCTTATTAATAATAAACAATTGCAGTATTAATAAGAAAGAAATACACATCATGTCCAAATAAATTAATAATACAAATAGAATTAATGTCAATTAAATGTCAAAATAAATAGTGGGTAACAGTTGCAATGTAGAGATAAAACAATGTAGAGATAAAGCAATGTAGAGATAAAACATGGATTACAGCTACAGCACCTTAAACAAATAATGCAAAATTAAAGTTTCTAAAAAAAAAAATTACTTTATAACTCTGGAAAACAAGTTACTGTTTCAATGACAATTTTTTTTTATGTGACAGGAGGCAAACAAAATTTTGTAGCTATGAAATTAATTACCTTATTTATTTTTTTATGTTTGGACGATGATGGTTAGCTTGATGTGCTGTCATTCGTCCTGTATTTATGTTGAACTAAGCCGCATTAGCGCCTATTACACAGGTTCTATACATACAGGTAATTTCTGAACTATTCCTAGGCATAGTAATTAACTTAGTACGGAACTCTGGAAGTTTGCCACATCCTTAGTGGAGTTCATCTCGGCAACACCGAAAGCTTGTTTTTGTTTGAGACACGGATCCCTATGCTCAGGGTTTGGTGCGGGCTTGGTAGAATTATTATTTGTGTTAGAAAGAGGAATGGAGAATGAGGATATCATTGACAAGTATAATAGGATATCTAAGTGCTTTAAGGCCAAAGATGAAATACATACGAGTAAATCTACAAGAGAAAGAATTTCTTGAAAATACTAACCTATAATCGTGGCTTTTACCGGTTTTTGCTTAAGAATGCTTAAGGTGTAAAATAATTATATTATTTCCGATCACAAAAGGTAGAGCTATCTTTTTGAACTGAGCAAGAAACTGACCTTGTGATTACTGGTCTTATGGTCGTATACGGTACGACTGTGGCTTTCTGAAATTGTGGTCAAAATACCGCCATTAACGGTGAAGGTTTCGGACTGGCCGAAGAACCTCGGCGCTTCTCGTCTATAGTGGTCAGTCCACTCGTAACACAAACATATTTTAGCTTAGTACGAGGGTTTAACAAGACTATTAGTATTGTGCAAACAAAATAGTAATTTTCTTGAAAAAAAAAAAAAGAAAGATTGTAGTTAGATACCACATTAATATTAGTGTAGGTATTGAGCAAGGTGAAATAGTATTTACTGCAATGAAAGTAAACTTCAATTTAAAACAAAACGCGCTATATCTCAGAAGAAGTCCGAGAAAAACCGATTTGTTCTCCGCAGTGTGTAATTACAAGCGAATAATAAGAATACTATTGTTGTTGCAGATTCAATAAAGAATGGTCTGAGATACGGAAAAGAGAGCTCCTTATTTTCCATTTCAGTTTTTCTATAGGTTGATTGAAATACTACAAAATATAGAAAAAAATGTGGGAAATTCTTCAACTTAACCTCACATTCCTTTCTCGTTTCTCGCAGAATCTCGCTGCATTTAAGCGTTAAAGCGGCTTTTTCTTATCTTAACCACCGTGCACATTAGGTAATACAAAGATCATTAGACGGGTTGCTATAAATACAAGCTTGCGCACAATAACCCTCAAGTATACCGCTTAAGTGCATGTTTATATTTATAGGCTGAAAGCGGGGCGGGAAACTGAGCGGAGGCGGAAAATTAAATGTAAGTATGACATTGTGTGCTCAAGGAAATGCCTGCTTTTTGAACACACATAAACACGTACTTACTGCAATAGATAAAGTTCGTACTGATTCTAACTACGTCGTACGAGGATATGACACTATTCACAAGTCCTCTGTAAGATGTATTTTTTATCAAGGGATATCAAAAAATCAAAATCAAAATTTTATAAGGTTTACTATAGTATACAAGATTAATTAGCAAAAGTATTTACGTTTAAGTATTTATTTATATTCGTGATCTAGATATCTATGGCTGCCGCGACACAAGCACAACTTAGGGCATCAGCCACTAGAACAGACTGTTTGTATACCTTTTGTTAGCAAATAAAATACTTTATTTACTTTACCTAGTTAGACATAGAACAGGACTGGATGGCGTCAGGCAAAATGTCAAAATTCTTATGTTTACTTTATGCATTACTTTCCGCTCCGCTCATGCACGACCGTAGCCTGAGACTAACGTGGAATTAACCCGGAACTGCTAGCGCAGCAGATTACCCCAGGAAGTTAAGAAACACCCACCTTTAAAGATATACGGAGTTGCGGAAAGTTTTGCATTTCTGACTGATTTACGACTACCCTTGATTTTATGATGCAGTAAATTTTTAGCGCTTCAAGATGTTCTAGTTTTATTCAGTTTATCTAGAGAATAATGAGCGTTTTGAAACAAGTCTGTTTTTAAGCCGTGAGAGGAATTAGATGGGTATAACTTCTATCATTTCAGTAGGTACGTCAATTAAGTGTACCTATGGGTGAATCTGTAGTTTAAAGAAATCTCAAATTATTATAAAAATGCAACGTTCATTTTTCAACTACAATAAATCAGGCTTTGTGCGTTTCAACTTTTCAAAAGTATTTTTCTACAAATAAAAAACCGTCGCGATAGAATCTCTCCCACCAATTTACGTTCCCGTAGCGAATAAAAATATCCTTTTAGCCCCGGATAACGATATGCATTTTAATTTGATTGCCCGCGGTCAAACCGGGATTACAAGATTATCCTGAACGTTTTATCATTACGTCTTTACAAGACCGGTAGACGTATTTTTGGTACAAAATGCAGATTAAATTTCACCGTCGTTAGCTTTTTGAGTGACAGACTTTATTT